GTAAGATTTTATGAAACTTAGAGTTAGTATGTTGACTTCGAGATTTGTACATGTCATTCAAGTTTCTATGTTTTTTTTAACAAGCAGCGTTAAGGGTTTACATGGTTCGTTGGGCAAAACAGCAATCAAGCAAAAGCTAAATCGAATTGAGGGGTGAGGAGGTTGTAGATAGAGGTCATTTCTCATCCTACTTTGCCTTTTTCTAAAGAGAGTGAGAATGTGACGGTGATCTGAGGAAAGAGAAAAAGGAAATAGCGAGATTTTTTTTTTACTAGAAATTTCTATGTTTTCCTTATACAAATTTATAATTGTAAATTTATATTAATAAATGATTATTGTAAATTTATATAATACAATGTAATAGAGTCAGTAGCATTAAAAAAATGATTATTAAGACAAGTATAATTTATTTTATATTGTCGATACATTATTTTTAATAATATTATACCTTAATTATAAAAGTTCTACCTAATAATTTTAGTATTAAATGTCATACAATAATTACCATAAACAATGTTTAATAATTGACAAATTCTATTAGGCAATAAAAATTAATATTATAAAATCTTTTGTAATATGGACACATTGTTTTTAATTATTTCGGTTTAATGATATTATATCTTTTGTATAAAAATTCAAAATAATACTTTTAGTACTATTGAATATTGATTGACTAACAATTATCTTAATTATTAAGACAATTAATAGGTATTTAGCTTTAAAAATTTTTCAAATATATGAATTATACATAGTAGCATGAAATTAATTAGTAAGACAATTATATTATGTAATCTAATTAATGATTTACTTTTTAAATTATATCCCCTTTTTAATAATAAATATTTTCTTAAAGTATATAAATAGACTATGGTTATCAATATAAAATTAAAAATGTGTGTGTGTGTGTGTGTGTGTGTATATATATATATATATATATATATATATATATATATATATATATATATATATATATATATATATATATATATATATATATATATATATATATATATAATGTAATTACTTAAACTATTATTTAACCCCTAAACTTGAGAAAATTTTATATTTTAAAAAAAGACACAATTTGATAAATATCATAAATTAATTATTGTAATATCATTTATGTTTACAATGAGAATAATTAAAGAAAAAATAAATAATTCAAATGTGAACCAATGATTTCAAAATGAAATTAATATACAATTACAAATAAATATAGCACGATTAGATTTAATTTAATTAGTTTTAATTTTCTTAATAAAATGATTTTTTCTTTTTCAGTTTTTGATGGGAGACTAAGGGAGTGTTTGGGTTGCTGAAAAATATTTTAAAAATAAAAATAGTTTTAAATTTTTTTTAACCCATAAACATGCGAAAATTTTATATTTTAAAAAATATACAATTTGAAAATTATCATAAATTAATTATTGCAATATCATTTATGTTTACAGTGCGAATAATTAATGAAAAAATAAATAAGTCAAATATGTGAACCAATGATTTCAAAATGAAATTAATCTATCTATACTATTAATAAAAGTAAAATCCTCCTTTTCAACATTCCCGCCCAAATTAATATGAATATTAATTAATTAGTAAAAAAATAATAAAGCTTAATTGGTAACAATAATATTTCTAATTGAGTAATTGACTAATTGACTAAAATGAAAAAAAAAAAAAAAATTGCCAGATCATTGCATTTTAATTAAAAATTGAACAAAAATTAAAAATTAGACGGAAACATTTCAATAATAATATTTTACATCATCAATTTTAAATGCATATTTGAAACAATATAAAGGTAAATTAAAAATCTATACTATTAATAAAAGTAAAATCCTCCTTTTCAACATTCCCGCCCAAATTAATATGAATATTAATTAATTAGTAAAAAAATAATAAAGCTTAATTGGTAACAATAATATTTCTAATTGAGTAATTGACTAATTGACTAAAATGGAAAAAAAAATTGCCAGATCATTGCATTTTAATTAAAAATGGAACAAAAATTAAAAATTAGACGGAAATATTTCAATAATAATATTTTACATCATCAATTTTAAATGCATATTTTAAACAATATAAAGGTAAATTAAAAATATAATAGACATATTTCAATAAAAATATTATACATCATCAATTAAAAATGGAACGAAAATTAGGTTAAAATATCACTGCATCTAATATTCTAATTGACTGAAAATAAAAAAGAATAATTGGCTGAAAATGAATTTGATATTACTAATTGACTGAAAATATAAAAGGATCACTAATTGACTGATATTCTACCATTACATATTTTCACCCGAGTCACCCATCCTGATGGACTGAAGGTGTTAGCTCTAGACGAAGATGGACAAGATTGTGTTGCTACTACCAATGTTATCTACAAAGAGGTTTCAATAGTGTGTAAATACATTCAGTGATATTGTGTTTTTTAAATGGCAAAATTACTATATATCTAGACAAAAAAATATATTTTCCATACAAATGGATTAGGATATTAATTCATTCTTATAACTAAGTTGCTAGAGAACGAGCGCATTTGCCTAATTTATAAAAAATACTAACAATGATAAATAAAAAGTTACAGCACCACATGCGTACATCTACACATTAGCTATTAATTTGAGCAATTATTTACTCAAATTAAACAATGATAACATCAAAACACATAAGTTATCCAAACCACATATTCAATTGCACTATATAATATAATATTTGATGTTCTAATTTAAATAATTATATATCAACCCAAATATTCTTAATATATTACGACCAATTCATTCCGTGCATCGCACGGGGAAAATACTAGTATTGATTGAAATAATATTTATTTATTGGATAAGACCAAAATAAAAGTCCTAGTTTAGTTTCATCCAATCGAATGGTTACAATTTATGCGGATATTTTAGAATGCACAAAGTTTCATTTCATATGACAAATTAGTCATTAATTTCCTCAATTATGGTATAATATAACTTTACACATCAAAATTAATCATGTTCGTGTTGGATAGAATTTCAAAAGGTGACAATGTACTCCTTCATATATTTTAAGATAATTACATTTTAGGCTGAAATCGGAAATCTCTGATTAAATTACTATAACTCCATACATAAAATTAAACTTTCTGCCAATTACTTCTCTCTATTTTCTTTTAAAATTTGAAGGAGTGTGAGTTAAATTTGTGATCTTTTACTTGGAGGTAAAATAAGATGAGCAGAGAAATAGTCTAATAAAGTTCGTTCTTATATAATTAATAATTAATGGTGATGAGTAACATCTATTTTGGATTCAGGATGAACCCTTTACAGGAGCAAAATGTCTAACTTTGCAATTACATTAGTAGTAGTGCACTGACTAATTCTCTCAAATTGGTGGGTTAATATATATAGGAATATGAGCAAATGAGAATATTGCTTTAAATATAATTAGGTTAAAAAATTACGGACTAATGTTGCTAGCTAGCTACCGATTTGAGATTATCATGGTTCTGAAGCAAGGAAAAAAATGTATTACGGTGATAATTTTGTAAACAATTCAAAATTTAAAACAATAAAAGTTACGGTGATAATTTTGTAAATAATACAAAAATTAAAACAATAAAAGTGTACCATGTAAAACTGCAAAGTGCATTTGATGATAAGTAAAATGTACACAATATTTGTGACTCTAAATATGCATCGAATGATATGTAGTCAAAACAAAACGATTGGACTTTTACATATTATTAAATGTATTTTTGTAGCATATTTAGTACACTTTTTTTTTTCAAAAATGAAATAATATTTATCAAACTTTTACCGCATTTTTCACCTACTTTAAAATCGTTGATTATCTTAAATGATATATGGAGGAGTAGCATTAATCGATATATTTTTGTTTTGTGACATGTTGTCAATTCTGCCGTGAACTCATCCCTAACACCTACCCATGCCTGCCATTAATGTTTCTTCTGATCTGTCTTTCTGATATTGTTGAAATTTCAAAGTTGAATTAAGTAAATAGATAAATAAATAAATAAATAAATAAATATATATATATATATATATATATATATATATATATATATATATATATAAAAGTTCAAATGCGGCCGGGTCTTCCCGTGCAGCGGAATTTCATAATACACCAATAGTGTTAATAATATGCATCAACGAAAACACACCACAATGGAATGCGATAAAACATCAAAAAATACACAGTAGACCTAAAAAAAAATACACCATATAACTCATCACCCCCCATGGTGTATTCCGAACACTGTATAGTGTTTTTACTCACACCTAATGGTGTGTGTTTGGTGATGTGTACCTAATTTGTCTCTATTTTTTGTGGTGTATTTTCCTACGTTGATGGTGTATATTTGTTGAACTATTGGTGATGCCGCACTGTAAGACACCGCCGCACCTGAACTCGCTTCTATATCTAAAAACATAATAAGCTTCAATCCAGGTTATACCCTTGGTTTATGTCCATGTTTTCCGTTAACTTTTTTTGTATCTTGTGTTATAAAAGTTGTACTACATAATTTTTTGGACAAAAATATCTCTGCTGTTATAACTTCTGTTATCTTTCCACATTATTATTACCATGTACATGCATATACAATATTTTTTCTTACATCCTTCAATGGTAAGTTTGAATTCATTTAGGTTTTAATTAAAATGTTACCACAGTTATATTTAGTAAATTATCATTTCTATAATTCTTACCTCAATAATATTAATATGAATTATACAATTATATATATATATATATATATATATATATATATATATATATATATATATATATATATATATATATATATATACACACTATTATTTTTAAAAAATTAATATAACTAAGATTTTAATATTTAATTTTAATATTGGACATATATTTTTTGCGCATCGCGCATATAAAATACTAGTATATATATATATATATATATATATATATATATATATATATATATATATAACCTCAGCTCCACCCACCCCCAATATAATCCCCAAACACATATACATATGACAAATCAAAGATTCTTATTCCTACTCCTCAACCCACAAAAGATTAAGCTTTACTCCTCCTATATATATATTAGCTAGAGAGAGAGAGAGAGAGAGAGAGACAGATTGGAAAGATCGAGGTGAGAGAAAAGAAATGGGAACCATGGTTGGTCCTGATGAATATTCCTCAGCAAAGAGTGAAGGAGATGATGAAGTAGATCAAGATGCTGGTGCCCTCTTTGTCCTTAAATCTAAAGGTATATATATATATATATAAAGCTCAGTTTTACTTTTACTGCAAAAATTCAACAATAATTTAATTAAACCTCAACTCATCACCTTCATCGTCTTTCCATTCTTCCCAAAAGTTCCGATCCCCAACCCTATAGGCCTCCCACATCCCAATTCAATAGAGCATTTGAAAAGATGTTAGTCATGATAACTTAACTGAACCACAGAGACTCGATATTTGCTTAATGCAACTTCATCGTCTTTCAATCTTATTATGTCTTCCTGTCCTCATATACTAATATACTATACATACATATCATGATGTTCTTAGTTATGTTCCGATCCACAACAAAAACATTAATGGAGTTACGTTCTTGCCCTTCCTGCCAAAGCTTAATTAGTTAGCTTCAAGCTTCAAATCTTCCATATGGAAAATGTCAGGTGTACTCTCATTTTTTATTTTTACACACAAAATCTTTATATAAACACTTGTATTAGGATTCACATAAAGAAAAAAAAAATTGTCACATATAGTAAAATTAAGAGAATTTAGAATGATATGAAGTTGAATTCTTTCCATATAATCATGAAACAGCTAGTGCTGATTGTGTCACGGCCCGCATTCAATGAATTTGTCAAATAATGTTGCCGTACTACATTTTTCAATTTGTAGTGCCATTCAAAAAAAATTACATTTTTATTATATGTTTCGATTTTTAACTTTATTCCTTTTTTTCTTTGTCTTTCCTAATAATGTTGTAACGGATAATTAAGACGATTCATTTTGGTTTTATTTTATTTCCCTAATAACTTATTAGCTTTTACTTATTCGGTGAATCACGTGTGAAGAGAATATTACATTTTCAAAATCATGATTCATAATATATTTATAGAGTTAAATCCATTTTTGTCCTATATTTATAAGTTGTACTCCACTTTTAGTCATTTTTTATCAATGTATTCACATTTGGTCCTAATATTAATGTGACATGAGTAATTTTGGTCCTTTGTCAACAAAATCATTTAAGTGTCATTAAATACAAAGGTGTTTCGATCATATTTATACAAAGTGAGTTGACCTTGTTATATTTTTATGTTTATTTTTTTGACAAAATTTGTAATTGAAGACCGAAATGCGTTTAGATTTAACGACATTAACATTGTTTTGTTGATAAATGACCAAAAATGATCTTGACACAATAATACTATGACAAAATGTGGATGTTTTGCTAAAAAAGACTAAAAATAGATTGACACATATAAATCTATGACCAAAATTGGAATTAACTCTATATTTATATATTAATTATCTCACACAATAATCTGAAGGGTGTAGTTGAGTGGAAGAGACTCATTCATCCTTAACCAAAGATCAATGAGATTAGTCACGGTGTCCGGAGGTGAAAATACTGAGAATACCCAACAAAAAAAAAAAAATAAATTATCTCACACAATGAATAATTAATATAATTTAATTTATTGATTGCGAATAGTAATTAATTAAATTGCATTGGTACGTGGTCCTAGGATCGTGGTGGCACTGTGGATACCACTTGACGACGTCAATAGTTGCGCCGCCGCTGCTGAGTCTGCCGTTTGCTTTTGCACTGTTGGGATGGGCGGGCGGAATGGTGTGCCTCGTCGGCGGCGCCGCCGTCACCTTCTACTCCTACAACCTAATGTCGCATGTTCTTGAACACAATGCTCAAAAGGGTCGCCGCCTCCTCCGCTTTCGGGACATGGCCTCTCACATCATGGGTAACACCTTCACGTTAATTTACATTAATTATTTGTGGTGGGCTAATAATATATATATTTAGATCCTTAATTATATTAAAGGGAAATTCATTTTAATCCCTTAATTATTATTTTTTAGTTATTTTTATAAAGGACTAATAATTTATTTTGTCATATATTAATATTTCGATTATAGTATATTATTTTTAGATATTATTTAGATGAGGTTTTTAATTCCCTGAATTTATGGTCCTAGTAGTGTGAGTCTAATTAAATGCATGATTAATGTGACGTACAATAGCAATCCTAACAAAACAATATTGACCACATTTTTTTGGGCTTTGAATATAATGGCAAGTGGTATGCATGTGTCGACAGCATCACCATAATTTTATCAACTAGTAAACGTAATGCAATTACGATTTTCAAAATTAGCCATTAAAAAAAAAAATTTATTGCAGTTTACTTGTTATATATTTTGTGAATTATTATTTAAGAGCAATGCTTATTTAGTGCACATCGCCAAATAGTGACAATGAGTGACATCTAAATATTTGAACTAAGATTTTAAACAAAGGCAAAAAAAAAAAGAACTAAGATTTTAAACTTATTTAGCCGATCCACTATATGTCTAAATCGGCTTGGTATATCCCTAATAAGTTGGGGTGCGAGCTAGGGATTTAAAGGTCTTTTATAAGGTGGACCGACTTATCAATATTAATAATAATATTTAAAATTTTAATATCATATTGAATTTTAGCATTTGAAAATTTTAAACTTGCTACTAATTTTGTTTTAGATTATCTAGACTTGTTATTGACTTTAAATTTTTGTATTAATATTTGTTTAAACTGTTTAATTTTATTTTATTTTATTTTTTTTTTTTGAATGCTACTGGTTCTATTACATTGTAGTATCTGTTCATATACTTTCTCAACCTACTGAAACACAGAGAACCAATAACGCCTCCACTGAGGCTTGAACTCATAATCTTCCAAATGGAAGTCCAACCCGGATACCATTGGACCACATAGTCCTGGTGTTTAATTTTATTTTATTATTCAATTATTAACTTTTGAAATAGTATCAAATTTTACTTTTTAAAGAATTTGGCTGGCTAGACCGCAGGCTTTAGCAAAGTAGTGCAAGTGCATTTTCTAGTCCCAACTCATATAACATGTCAACCCGCACCGTTAACCCGCTTTGATAGTATTGCTTTTGCTTGAGAGTGGCATGAGATACAAATGCAAATGCAATATATAAATAAATAATAAAAAATAATAAAAACTTTAAAAAAAGAGTTGACTATAAGGTAATTATGTATTTAGAGCAAGCTTAATAGTTTTCTCTTTTTCTTTCTTCACTTGGTCCCACTAAAAACCTTCATTTGCAGTATAAAAATTACCTAAAATCATATTTTCCATTAGTGTAAAAATTATTGTTTGGTTTTTTTCTTCCTCAAAAAATAACAAATATTCCTATTGGGATTGTTCTTATAATTTTAAAATTTGTGTTTGACTTATTTTAAATTTTATATTTATTTATTTATTTATTTATTTATTTATTTGAAAACCAACCTAAGTTTTATACTTATTTATTATTCCGCTTAGCCAAAAGTTTGACTAATCATTTTAACTAGTAGGAGTATTTGTTTATAATTAAGATAAGAGGTGGCAAAGTATCAGCCTAACTTTTGGCCAACTTTGACTAAATCTTTGTTTTATAAATGAGAGCAATGTGAGCAATTGTCAAGCCGCAAGTTTAAAACAAAAACTAATTAATACTCATAATAATATAATAATTAGGTTTAGTTTTTTTTTTTTATCGGATCATGAGGTGTCCTGAGCAGGTCATAACTATATGAGGTACCTTTAAGCCCATATCATACTTAGATTAATCGGAGTGTTATGCTGTGCAACCGTGTGCACCATGCAAGGTACACACTGAATTGGATTCATAATTTTTATACTATATATCCATAATTTCTATACTATAGATTCATAATTTCTATATTATAGATTCATAATTTTTAAACTGTATAGTTATCAAATTATGAACATATAGTTCAGTGATTTGTGAATACAGAGTTCAACAATTGGGAATATGAACATTGAAAATTATAAACATAGAGTTTTGTAATTGTGAATATAGAGTTCAATAATTATGAATCAGTATAGAAATTATGAACCCATGGTGCACACGGTCAATCGTTATGATTTGGACCCGTGTGCAGCATGCATGCTGACACGGGTAACAGAGCCGTTAGGCACTGTTATCTTTTTTTTTTTTTCTTCTTTTTTTTTTCTTTTTTTTTTTAATTTCAGATTCGTTATAGGAGTATATGTTCATAATTTTATTACTATATGTTCATAATTGTAAGTTCATAATGTCAGAGCTCTATGTTCATAATTCAATAATTGTACATTCATACTTCCATAACTGTACATTCATAATTTCGTAACTGTACATTCATAATTCAATAACTGTAACTTCATAATTTTCGAAGCTCTATGTTCACAATTTTAGAGCTCTATGTTCATAATTTTATCATTATATGTTCATATTGTAAGTTCATAATGTCAGAGCTCTGTGTTCATAATTCCATAACTGTATATTCATAATTGCATAACTGTACATTCATAATTGCATAACTGTACATTCATAATTCAATAACTGTAAAATCATAATTTTTGAAGCTCCATGTTCACAATTTTAGAGCTCTATGTTCATAATTTTATCATTATATGTTCATATTGTAAGTTCATAATGTCAGAGCTCTGTGTTCATAATTCCATAACTGTATATTCATAATTGCATAATTGTACATTCATAATTGCATAACTGTACATTCATAATTCAATAACTGTAAAATCATAATTTTTGAAGCTCCATGTTCACAATTTTAGAGCTCTATGTTCATAATTTTATCACTATATGTTCATAATTGTAAGTTAATAATGTCAGAATTCTGTGTTTATAATTTTATAACTTACATTCATAATGTCATAACTGTACATTCATAATGTCATAACTGTACATTCATAATCCCATAACTGTACATTCATAATAGCACAAACAGGTGTTAATGGCGAGACAAAATCAATTTTTTTTAAAACTGGAATGACGTGTTTTTCTTAAAAACGACGTCGTTTTGGACTCGTGTCCACAATACATTGTGGACACGGGTCCAGGGCATAATTTGCGGCACACGGTTGCACAACATAATTTGCCAGATTAATCCTCATTTGCACTGGATTGACTCAATTAAGGGACAAAATGTTGGCCATATTGATTTTTTCATATGAGAGGGGTTTGAACTCTTAACCTCTGTTAAAAGATGAGAGTGTACAGCCACTCGCGTTAACCAAGCTGGTTAATTAGGTTTAGTAGTTAGTAGTAGTTGTTGTAGTAATTGTGTAATACAAGAAAATTTCTTTTAATCTTCGGACATTGGACTTTTAAACTGTATAGTTTGTCATAATAAAATTTTAAATTGATAATGAGGTTATACATTTATTATTTTATATATAAAAAAAAATAGGCCAAATAAGCCCATTAAGTCTAAGAAATAGTGCAATTAAGTCTCTTAAGCAAAAAAAAATTATAATGAGGTCCTCTAAACTGATAAAATAGTTCAATTAGGTTATAATTTTACGGCCATGGTTGTCTTGTACATTGATGGATTGTTGTTCTTCAATGGAAGCAATCATTGGCCTTCAACAATGGTCAGTGTTTTTTTAAAATAAAAATTCGCATGCGTAAGATCCATGTAAGCATCAAGACGCCACGTACTAACTTACTTAGTGTCACATCAGTTGTGACCTACTAAATAGATAAAATTAAAGCCTAATTGTACTATTTTGTTGATTTAGGTACGTCATTTCAGCCCTTTTAGAGCTCTAATTGCACTATTTCTTAAAGTTAAAATACCCGTTTAACACTTTATATATGTATATATATTATACTTAACACAAGTACACAAGACGAGTTATGAATGTGAAAATAAAATTGGGCAGGGCCAAGATGGGGCAGATACTACGTAGGCCCAATTCAACTGCTGGTATGCTATGGTGCAGTGATTGGTAATACTTTGCTTGGAGGACAATGCCTCAAGGTTTGTCACCAAAATTTGATATTCTTAAATAAATACACTAATGTTACTTAATGCATTAAATTTGTTGGAATCAGTAGTGTAAATTTGAGTGAATATAATATAATTGATGAAATTGATTCAGACAATTTATCTGCTGTGGAATCCAAATGGGAGCATGAAGCTGTACGAATATGTGACTATATTCGGGGTGGTGATGTTGATTTTGGCTCAAATCCCATCGTTTCACTCCCTAAGATACATCAATTTGGTTTCTTTGATTCTCAGCCTATGTTACAGTGCCTGTGCCACTGTTGCTTCTATCTATATTGGTATGTATATATGTTTTAATTTCTTACCACTTATGGGTTTTGAGTTTGAACTTCGAATCTTATATGAATGAGAAAGTTTTGAATTCGAGTCTTGTGAATGGAATGGAATAGCCGGTATTAACTAAACTCATATTTGGTATCAGGAGTTTCATCCAAGGGACCAAGGAAGGATTACTCTGTTGATGGCGATAATGAAACGCGTATTTTTGGCATATTCAATGCAGTGGCTATCATCGCCACAACATATGGGAATGGCATCATTCCAGAAATTCAGGTCACCTTTGTCCCTAAGCTTCAATTCGAATCTTGAATTAGTATATACTGGAATGCCTTGAAATGATCCAAAGTTTTACTTTACAGGCAACGTTGGCTCCACCAGTGAAAGGGAAGATGTTTAAAGGACTGTGTATTTGTTATGCAGTAGTGTTATCAACATTCTTCAGTGTTGCCATTTCTGGGTACTGGGCATTTGGGAACCAATCTGAGGGACTAATCCTCACCAACTTCACACAAAATGGCAAAAATTTGGTTCCCAAACCTTTCATTTTCATCATCAATCTCTTTACCATTATGCAACTCTCCGCCGTAGCTGTGGTAAGAATAACATAGTATTCTGCTTCAACTTTGAAGTATTTTGTTTCAACTAAAAAGGTTAGGTTAGGCTAATACTCTTTTTTTTTTTCTCAATATTTTGGGTATGAAAGGTGTATTTGCAACCAACAAATGAAATGTTGGAAACAATGTTTGGAGATCCAAAGAGTGGAGAATTCTCAAGCAGAAATGTGATTCCGAGAGTGATATCACGATCATTATCTGTTGTGGTGTCGACTACAATAGCTGCAATGCTACCATTTTTTGGAGACATAAATGCAGTGATTGGTGCATTTGGGTTTATGCCGCTGGATTTTGTGTTGCCTATGGTTTTCTTCAACTCAACCTTCAAACCTTCCAAGAGGAGTGGTGTTTTCTGGTTAAATTTGAGCATAGCTGTGGTGTTTTCCATCTTGGGAGTCATAGCAGCAGTTGCTGCAGTTAGACAGATTATCCTTGATGCTAAAACCTTTCGATTATTCGCTAATGTTTGATTCAAACAATAAAAAGGGTTTGCTATCCTCACTATTTGAAAACTTACAGCCACTACCAGATGGTGTGCACTGGGTAAACCCCACCTTGTGATTCTAACCAGCAAAAGACTACAAGGAGGAAAACCAACCTAGGTTGTTCATACTCAAACTAAGAAGGCAGGCCAATAGACCACTCACACTAGAAATCGAACTTGAAACCTTGTGGTACTAATTGGCACTATGTCGATTTGCACTTGATACAATCCAAAATACATGCCTAGTATTAGCTCGAGCCTCGAGGGGTGACTGGGGCCAGGTCCAAATGGTTGGACCAGGGGTCCAGTATCAACCCTCTACAAGGCAGTTCTGGTCTGGCTTGGAAAGTCCTAGCTCCTAGGCCAGACCCTGTTACATTGTTAGCTCCAAGCCGGTTCAAGGTTAGTTCAGTCTGGAACTAGCCCGTGGCCCCCTCTATTAAGTGCAATCTAAAAAATTAGTTGTGTTCTACCCCGTACAAATCGACACCTAAAAATTTCCTCAATTAAATATGCTTATCCTATAATTATAGAATTGAGTGCATTCATTGGTTTATTCGTTGGCTGGTTGTGTTCATTATAAGAGTTTAGTCCACCTCAACAACACAAACAACGCCAAACGTTTCACTGAAATAATATATTGAAATAATCATTGAAAATTCCATAAACCAAATTCCTTACCTCAAAAAGACAGAATCAGTGACCAGATGATATGGCTAACCCATAACCTCACCAATAACTAATCATTAAATCGCTTTGGTAAATCATTGTAATTATTGCTTGAAGCTCTAAATGGGAAAAAGAAGAATCAATAAATGACCAGTAGTTTGTGTATTTTACTCATCTTCATATATGTGCATATGCCCATAGAGTTTTTGCCAGTGAGATGCTGCTTCTTCTGGTGTCCGAAAAGACCATATGTGAGGCTTGGTTTTCTCCCGCTTTTCCAAAATTTCCTGTTTCAAGAAACCCAAGAATAAGGAGCGATAATATCACATATTCAGAAAGTTTATATAATGGAATATGCAGTTAAAATGGAAATTCCCCAATACATTTCAGACCAGAGTAGTGATGTGGGATTGTTTTAAGCCTTGCAATGAATCAACAGTAAACATAAAATTCCATTGTGTATGCTTTGGGGTAAAGTATGTCAACCCAATTGAAAATTTTAAGCGTTACAGCCAGGAGAGGGAAAAGTATTCCTAATCCAAAATCATGCTCCAAAACTCTATTCTAGTCCTAGACACCAAGCAAATGGGGCTATCTTCAGGCAGCTTGTGATAAAAGGACTTGCACTGTATTTCAGCTCACCCAAATTTGAACAAGCACAGTTTGCATATTCTTAAGAGCATCACATGCACACAGCACACTCAAGACTTAAAATTTTTTTTTTAAAGAATCCAATCTCAAAGTAGTGGTTCCAAAGTGCCATTCGCCCATAGGGGTTAATTTGCAGTATCCAACAACAATGATGGCCAGTGACATAACAACGCTCAATGGGCAAAGTGGTCCCTAACTCCATACAAGTCAAAATCCCATCAAGAAAGGCTTACTAGCCCACTCTTGAGCTAGCTTTGTAGTAGAATTAGAGTCTTGGCTTAAGTACCGTATCAAAGTGAATATTAATGAAATTCTATATTATATATATCACCTTGTCCAGAAAATATTTTACAACCCTAAACCTGCTTTTAGGCAACTAGTGCAACACCAGGAGGGGATTGATCTCAAAGGTAACCGAAGAGTTGAGAGAAAAGGCAAGGACCTAAACAACACAAGCTTAGCTTGCAAGCAACCATATAACCTTACAATAAAAATGATCCAAACAATTGCTAAGCTACCATTCCTGCTTTAAATGAAATTGATGCAGTCATACATCTTTTGGTTGCATTCTGTGTGCACTATATCCATCCCTTCTCTAAGACAAATTGAAAAACTGTATAAAGTAAAATGAAAGCATACCTCCACTTCAGCTTGGCGTTTAGTTTTTAGACTCAAGCAATCATAAAGGGCACTCCATTTATCAGAACAGTTGTCGAGGCTACCGAGCCTATAGTACTGCTGCATTTGATGGACTGGAGCTGCCACAATTAGAGAAATTGAAAACTCATATTATAATCTCAACAAAGATATCAAATCTCATAAAAACTCCCTAAAATTCAACTCTAATCAGAATATAGGAAAACGATTCTCCGCATGGGAAGATAATATAAGAAACAGTTATCCCCCGTCCCGTCTTCAATTTTTCTAGTAGCTGAAGGTTTCTCAACAACGCAAATTCCTTTATCAAGTATAGCTCACATTTCATCAAAAAAAAAAAAAAAAAAAAAAAAAAAAAAGTATAGCTCACATTACAGACTGTGTTAAGCATGAAGATAAGTTTCTGGAAATGAAGGAAGAAAATAGCATACTGTAGCAGAACCAGAGTGCATCGAAACAGGCTGAGCACGATAGCTTTCGCCGCGGTTCCTTCTCCGAACTCATTACACTCCGACGGCAAAATTGGTGTTGTTCGGACTCCGGTTGTTTATTCTTCTCTAGGGTTTTTTTTTTTTTTTTTTTTTTTTAATAACACAACTTTCTAGTAAATAAATTTGACTTGACTAATTTTATATCCCAAAAAATAATTGATTGATTGAAGCATGATTTTTGTGTTAAAATATCTTCTTCTTCTTCTTTTTTTAATGATTTCGTCAAACGTAGACAAGACTATCTCTGGTTGAAAAGTCTTGCACACCACTTGAGTCTTCACCTTCATTTTTTTCTTCATTGACAATATTCTCGACTGAAAATACACACTCGATCTTATGTCTTTGACCGATTTTTCAGTGGGTAGTTCGTCAACCGAGTTGAACTGCATATCATAGTTCAGAAGAGACGTTTTATTGTCATCTTCATCGCCTAGAATAAGTTTTACATAAGTCATGACCATTTTATCTTTTCATGCTTCAAAAGAACCTCGTCAAAGGAAACGAGAGGAAAAGACTCGTCAAAGAAACGAGATAAACTATAAAAGATAACCTGCTAAACAAATGCAGGAGTACAAAAATGCAAATAGGTAGGCAAAAACAAAAGTGGGAGGCAACTTTATTGCTTGAATCCCCCAATGCCACAAATACAAAACCCGGAATTTCCTTTAGCTTTATTGCTTGAATCCACAAAACTCAAGCCATAGCCACTTCTAATATCAATGCCACAATCACATTACCAAAATCAAACCACTATAGTTTGTTTCTCTTTTCCTTTTCTCTGAAAAGTAAGCTTTGACAATAGTGAGGGGCTTCTTACTTAGATTTGGAGATGGCATTTTTTGCGACAACAGGTGCAGATGTAAGGTAGCGGCCGGTGGTGGTGGAAAGAGGGGAGTAGCTGGTGGTGGAGGAGGAGGCGGCAGGTCAATCGAAGGGAAAGGAAGGAAGACAACGACGACAGGGGAAATCGAGAAGAAAGAGAAAAAAAGGACACCAAAAAGAAGAAAAGACAATGGAGGACGAACAGAGGAAAACAGACGCCGCCTCCGTAAAGCTGAGAGACAACCCGAGAGAGAAGTGTGTGTGTGATTTTTTTTAATTTGGAGAAATTGTATTGTGCTAAATGTCATAAATTCAATTCTTATTACAATTCTCGTACTAAAATGTCGCAAATTCAATTTTTGTCAACGCCTTTCAATCAAACCCATCACACAAGCTACGGTTTTCCCATCTCTCTCAAGTCAAAAAATAAAATAAAATAAAAAAAAAAAAAAAAAAAAAAAACGATTGAACTAATCAGCTATGAGTAACCTAAACTAGTTTACTTCCTTACAGTCCTCTATCAAATAGGGTCATAAGACTGCGAATTTCCTTCGTCTATCACCCCAAAAAAACATACCATCATTTTCAAATGCATAAACCAGGAAAGAAAGGAACAAAACTCAACCTCACATGTAGGGAAATCAAATTAAGGTGTTAAATGAGAGGATATTGTGACGCATTAGATTTTGAAATGACAAGGGGCAAGCAATGAACGCTTCTGAATCACTTCTTCTCATTTAAAAATATCAGTAACTAAAATACATAGGGTAATGCAATAGTTACAACCAATCCATTCATTCCGCCATTTGATGCTTGCTATTCATGCTACACAAATCAATCGTGTAAAACCTGATGAAACCATGACTGCAAAAAACAACAAAAATAAGTAATAATAAACCCTTGTCCTAGAACGAACCCTAAAACCTCACAGAGCACAATGTAATCGTGCAAAAGAATCGCAAAAATGCAACCAGACCCAGACCCTTCATATCTATGCCATCCACCAATCGAAAACAAGCAAGCTCCCCATTACTCCTCTCCCGCCAGCCCTCTCAGCATTTTCTTGTTCAACACCCACCCGCCGCCTTTACCTTTTACATGCATGGTGCGGGCTTGACGTATAAACAAATTTTACAAATTGTTGTTGGTTGTACCACGACTTCGATGAGAATGACGGACTTAGAGCAAACCGGCAAGCAAAGCACCGGGATCTGATTTTGCCGTAGGTTGGCTAGCTGGCTGAGGTTGCGGAGGAGGCACTTGTGTGGCAGGCCTGGGAGCTGCCGTAGGAAGGGCAACTAATTGTTCCTTAATAAACTCCTTCAACCTATATGACAGACGATTAAGCTGATCAATCATTCATAATGTTCTGAAAGCAAAACCCAAACTATTCTTATCCAAAATATATTTGACATACTCAAAAGTTAGCGTAGGATCCCCAGAAGCAACTGTCATGCGCAACTGAGTTCTATCTGCTGGATCTGTTTCTATTCGTATCTGTGCATTGCAATGATATTAGATCGTAGTTGTAGATGAATCTATCTAATATAAACACACACGATAAACTCAGAACCCATAACCAAAACCCTAAACATGTGTAGAAGTGAGTATTTTGAGTGAGTGCTTAATGGAAATGGACAACATCGGTGTCCTTCAGTGAAGTGATCATTTATATTTTCTATCTATTGAGGGAATTCAAACTGGAACTTCTGTATATGCTTACCAAACACAACATGGCTCTA